TTATACACACACACATGCTCACGTAATTCCAGCTTCCTTCCAAAGTTTTCATTTATCTCCTTCCCTTTTCCTATTTGAAGAGTTGTTTATAATTCTTCACCTCATATTTAGGCATTCATCACAGGCTATAATCCAACTCCTTGTCCCAAGTCTGCCCCTAGACCACCCGAACAAGGGTCAAATTGTCCTAGCAGTAGAGTCAATGGCAATCTACTTTTATCCCTGTTCTGCTAATCTCTTTGAATTTCCCACCCTTGGCCTGTTAACCCTCAATACCGTAGCCATACGTCCACCTGGCTGTCATTCTACCTTTTTAGAACATTCTTTCTAGTGATCTATTTTTACTGCCCTTCTTCCTTTTCTTAAATATTGGTGTTCTCCAGAGTACCCTGATTGTATTTTTTCCTTATACACTTTCTTTCAAATAGCTTTCCCAATACTTACAATCTCATTGACCTCTGAAGAGCTTATTATTGGAAAAGGAACGTTTACCTTTTTGTCCACTTGCAAAGGGATGATGAAGTGAGTCTTGGCAGACTACCTCTAAAAGTAGCCTAATCCCTGCTCTAATCCGACAATTTTAGATTCAACTAGCACTTATTCATTGATCACTATGTTCCAGGCACGATTCCAAGGGCTATATAAGTTTTAACTCATTTAATCCTCACAATAATCACATGAGGTAGACACTATTATTACCTCCATGTGACAGGTGAGAAACCTGAGACAGAGAGAAATTAAGTAACTCGCCCAAGGATTCCTGGCTTGTAACTAGGAGAGCCAGGATTCAAAATAAAACAGTGGCATTCCAGAGCCATTCTCTTATCAACTATACTGCACCATGTTTAATCAGTCAAAAATGTCCTCAGCAGTACCATAGCACTAAACAGCTCCAAGGACCCTTTCCCATGGATCAAGCAGAGGCACTGACTGATGGGAAGGAGGTCACTGTTGCTCACCCAACTGTCACACAGGAAAGATAGAGGCAAGGGCATTTTGAGCTAAATACCCATTGTGCAATCTCAGATGTTGTAGCTTGCTTATCTACTATTATACACATCTGAGAAAAGCAATAGCATTTAAAGTAAGTAGCCCATTTGGAATAAGGAAAGAACGCTAAAACTCATAATTGGCTTCAATCTTCTCAAATGTCATAATGTGGAGCTGTAAGACACATTTCTGCTTCCTAGAGTACTAGATGGAAAGAGGCATTCAGCTGCCAGATAGGTTCCTTTCAAATGTTAGATCATATCATATGATTCCTCTGCATCAAGCCTTTCAATGTCTTTCCACTCCACTTAGAATAAATACCGATACATTAGGGTACACATCCATTTCAGCACCAGCAGGCTCCTGTCAATTTACCTCTCTCCCTGTTCGTGGTCCTTGCGCCCTGGCCTTCTGTTCTCTCTGCCTGGGACACTAATCTTCCAATTCTTGGCAAGTCCAGATCCTTTTCATCCTTCACATCTTAGCATAAATATCATTTCCTTAGAGAGGCCTTCCCTGGCCACCAAATAGAAGTAAGGTCTCCCCACAATCCCAGTTACTGTCTATCATCTCATCTTGTCTAGCTCCTATCTTGATCCAAAATTATTTATGTATTTACCTAATTATTCATTCTTTGCCTTCCCTGCTAGAATGCAATCACCTAGGGAACAGGGAATTTGTCTTCTTCAATCTCACATAGATAGTGTTTAGCTCAGAGCCTCACATATAGTAGAAGTGTCAGGTATTTATTACACTAAGAAATAAGAAGTAATATATTTCATGGAATATCCTTGCAATATTCCTTTGTCTGCAAATTCATACAAGCCTTTTCCTTTTCTATGTGTTTTTAACTGAAAGAAGAAGAACTTTGGAGTTGGACGGACTTGGATTCACACCCATCTCCACTACTTACAAACTGCATGATTCTAGGCATATTTGTAATTAAACTTTTCTCTTAGTTGGTAAGTAAGAAAATAGTATTTGCCTCACACAGTCGGTATGACCATTAAATACAATGTTAGTGGATATAGGGTGGTTCGCTCAGTTCCTGGCACATAGCCAATAGGTAATAAATATTTATTTTTCTCTTTATCCCTTTCCCACCTATATTGACACTCCTTTACAAACTCATGGACTACTATATTGCACCAAACATATTAGAAAATAAAAGTCAGCCAACAGCAATCTTTGCCAGGTTTCAAATCTATTAGCCACGTTAAACCTCAATCTTCTAAATCCCAGAAAAATTTATGAGGAAGAGAAAGATTAGACGGAAAGAGAAGAGAAACAGGAAACACAGGAAAAGGTGAGAATGTAAAGGACAGAAAAAAATAAAAGAATTTGCCTGTTGAGTAGATTCTAACAGAAAGCACCAGACCTGGCCCAGGTTTGATGCATGACACAGGCAGTATGTAGGGGCAGCTCTGAAAATTGGTGGGCCTGCTGTCTGCTTTGGGACAGTTCCTGCTTCCAGGCCCTGTGTGCTGTGGCTCCTTGAGGACATTCTTCAGAAATAATTAGCTATTCCTTCCCAAGTGGTGTGAAAAATATGACCATTTCCAAGTCCTTTACCTTTTACTTTTCTTTCTGTTTCCTTTAGAGTTGTAGTACATATGGACATTTAAAAGGAAACTAACCCCAAATTTAGAGTTTACAGCTTGGTTATAGTCTAGCATTTGTATACTTACTAAAACAGTTTAACAATAGATCATGAGGCATACATTTCCTACAGAGAAAAGACTCTGAGGTTTTTCTGGATGCACAGTTCAGATTCTCAGGGAGGAATGAGTAGGAAATATTTTTGCTATGCTACTTGACATGAGTCCAGCCTTTCCCTGGAACTTTCTTTATATAGAGAACAACGTACATAGCTTTAGAGATTACCAGTAGGTTTGAAATGAATCTTGAATATTCTCATTTCAAAGGGGCAGGGATTCCAGTCTTAGATGGGGGCAACATGTCATCTTCTCCTCTGTGCCCTTCCTCTACCCCATTGGTATCTTTATAACAAAAGAAGGAGCCCTGTGTCCTAAAAAGTCAGACCCTATGTAAAAACTGTCAGGTCATGGAATGTGTCCAGGGTATATGAATTGCAAAACAAAGGCAAAAATAAGTATCTGGATGCAAAATGAGATCACACAGCAATATTTTGTCTTTAAATGGGCTTTAGCTGATGTGCCTACTTAATCATTTGAAAAATAAATAAAACTCATACCAAGTTAATCAGCAGAGCTATCTTGAAATATTTCTAAGGGTGACAGTTTTGAGCAAGAAGAGTTTTCAAGAATCATACTGAGTTCAGGTCAGATTCGATGAGAAGCAATGTCCTCACCAAAGTCCTAAAGCTTCAGAAATGCATATGCATTCTTACATTTAGGATTCACAGTAGCAGCAGTAGCAAGAGTGCTGCTGAATGCAAAAAAAAAAAAATGGCAGCAATTTGAAGAACATCAGTTTGTCATTTCAAGGATGGTGTCACACATGGGGACTGACCTAGAGTTATTAGCACAGTTTTTTCCCAGTCCTTCCTATGGGCACCCTATATGACCCACCATGATCATCTCAGTCTTCCGTCTGCTTCACTTCTGGGATTGGATCTCCTAACCCTGTTAATCTCTCTGGTGCCATCTTGTTTCTCCTTCCCCTAAGTTTGACCTTAAAGACATTGGTCATGGTACACTTTCCAAATCGTGGATAGATGGAATGTCTTTGTCCATCTGATTAAAAACTTAGACAACCCATCATGATTTTTCTTTCCTTCTGTGGAAAAGCTTGAAACAAAAATGTTCACAGATGAATTCTTTAACAGAGAGCCCAACTGATGCCACGTTTAGTATTAAATGTGGGTTTAGAAAGTTTATGATCATAATAATTCTTTTAAGCAACAACTCCAAGATCCTGTGGGTTGGCCATCAGGATTCAGAGGAACAGGGGAAGCCCTAGCAAAAATGCTGAAATTCTCTTTGCAAAGGAATTTGGTGGGGAATTCAAGGCCTATTTCATTTCCACCCAGCCATAGCCCTCACAAATCCTACTACTACTGCACAATCACACTAGGTCTGCTTTTAAGGCTTTTCCTTTTAATGTGCACCCTGCTGGTTTTTCTGCTTTATTTATTTAATTTTTTTTGTAGGGGTAGATGGATACTTATTTTTGTTTTATTTTGTTTTGTTTCCCACACATTTAGCTGAATTCAAGGTTGAATCCAAACAAGACTCTGACCTAAGCAGGTTCCAACGTTCTGTCCTCCAGCTGGCTGGGTCCTCTCATGATGGCATTCCCAAGGACCCACCGACTGGGATCCACAGGATTCTGCCACAAGAACTGCTAAGAGAAGTTTATTTGATTAATGCATTTTAATCTAATGTTCAAGGAAGGGAGAGATGTTTGCTTGTATGTACCTTAGTTTATGGTAGGCTTATGTAAAAGCATGAGATTTAATGTTCTGCATTCTCTGAAGGTAAAAAAAAAACAAAAACAATAAACTTATTTCCCTTTCATATCTTCCCTTCCAACTTTATCCCCTTTTGGGAAAACATCACTATTTCCAAACTGAAACCTCTTTTCAGAAAAGAAAAAAAATCAAGTGACTAAAATTCTTTCTTTTGCAAGAGAAATGAAAACAACACACACAAAAAGAGAAAGAACATTAAGTTATTTCCTTTCCAGTGGTCTTTGACATGTTTTTGTGAACCTATTTCCAGTAGTCCCTTCTCCCAAGATAGTTTCTCACGTTACAGTCTCATTAAAAATATGACAAAATGAATTAGTTAATTAATCAACATAAGTCAGAAAATATACATTGTCAAGCTTTCTTTCAAAAGGAGAATCTTTATCATCCTTCCAAAAAAAAAGAATGCCTTTTAATTTTATCTAGCACAAGATGGTACAGTTAGACATTACTTAACAACGAGGATACATTCTGAGAAATGTCCTCAGATGATTTCTTCATTGTGAGAACATAATAGAATGTACTTACACAAGCATAGGTGATATAACTTACTACGCACCTAGTCTGTATGGCATAGACTATTGCTCCTAGGCTACAATCCAGTAGAGCATGTTACTATATTAAATAACACAGGCAATTGTAACACGATGGTAAGTATTTGTGTATCTAAACATATTGAAACATAGAAAAGGTCCAGTAAAAATGTGGTATAAAAGATAACTAATGGTGTACTTGTATTGGGCATTTACCATGAATGGAGCTTACAGGACTAGAAGTTGTTCTGGGTGAGTCAGTGAGTGAGTGGTGAGTGAATCTGAGGCTTAGGACATTACTGCACACTATTTTAGACTTGATAAATACTGTATACTTAAGCTACAATAAATTTATGAAAATATTTTTCTTTCTTCAATAACAAATTAATGTTAGCTTACTGCAATTATTCTATTTTATAGACTTTTTAATTTTTTGACTCTTGTAATAACAGTTTAAATCAGAAACACATTATAGCTATATAAAAATATTTTCCTTATATCCTTATTATATAAGCTTTTTTACTTTTACTTTTTTTTTTTTTTACTTGTTTTTCTTTAAGAGATGGGGATCTCACCACTTTGCACAGGCTTGAGTGCAGTACTTATTCACAGGAGCAATCACAGTTCACTATAGTCTGGAATTCCTGGGCTCGAGCTATCCACCTACCTCAGCCTACCGAGTAGCTGGGACTGCCGGCATGTGACACCATACCTACAGTCTTTTAAACATTTTTGTTAAAAAAATTTAGACAAAAAAACCACACACATTAGCCTAAGCCTACATGGGGTTAGGATCTTCAATATCACTGTCTTCCTCCTCCACATCTTGTCCCTCTAGAAGTTCTTCAGGGACAATAACATGCAGAAAGTAGTTATCTCCTATGATAACAATGTCTTCTTCTGGGATACCTTCTACAGGATCTACCTGAGGCTGTTTTATTGTCCACTCTTTTTACAAGTAGAAAGAGTACACTCTAAAATAATAATAAAAAGTATAGAACAGTAAATGCATAAACCAATAATATGGTTGTTTATTATCATTATCAAGTATTATATACTATACATAATTGTATGACTGCTTTCCAGAAAGTATTCAGCCATGTAACATGAAAATTACATGCTCACAATGGCTGGATACTTTTCAAACAGCCCTCATATGTGCTAAATTTTTATATGGCTGACAGTGTAGTAAGATCATTGACACCAGCATCACCATATACACATGAGTAATGGATGTGATGTATTATGATTTCATGATGGCTATGACATCACTAGGCAATAGAAATTTGTCACCTCCTCTACAATCTGTGGGACCACCATTGCAAATGTGGTCCATTATTGGCCAAAATTTCATGAGGCACGTGACTACCTACAGTAGGACAGAGTATGAGATCACACTAATTAAATGGAACTCTACCAACAGATGGACCCCTTAAGAAGAGTGTTAATATCATTTTTCTCATGGGTAGTACCAAAACCAATAAAAAGTGACATTCAATGAGATATTCCCATTTTCCTGGCATCCTGTCAACCATTTTAAAATGCACCATCATATTTAATGTTTAAAATAATTTTATAGTATAATGTATGGACTGGAAAATTTATCTATAATGGCCAAATAGTGAGTATTTAGTAAGTATTTAATGGCTAATTAAATTAATAGTAATTAATTGTGAGTATTTAATGGCTAACTAGTGAGTATTTAGGCTTCATAGGTCATCTAGACTTTAGTCTTCTTTGCTTTGATTATTGTTCTTGTTGCTGATAAGCAGGTTTTATTTGTCCTTCTGCTACCCACTACAAACATAAAAACTGTTCTTAGCTTCTGGCTTGCCCTCAAACAGGTTGCAGACTGTATTTGGCCTTTGGGCTAGAGTTTGCTAACGCTTGATTTGATACAAGTAGAACGAGTAACATTTCCACTTATAGAAGAGACTGAGACTTATAGATGTTAAGAAAATCAGCCTAAGTTACATACCTAGTGTCAGAAGACTCTAGCTAACCATGTTGACATAGCAAGAGTAAACTATTTACAGTTAAATCTGAGAATCCATGTAAATAGTAGGTAAATATAGAGCATTTCCAAGAAACCCTTATAGTTACCTATAATGACAAATGTCACTATAGCATTAGCTACTTTATAAATGCCTCTTGAATATACTCAGAGATACAGACTATTTCCACCTATACTACTGGCAGATATAATATCAAATGGAGATGATTTCACAGTCACAAGCAATTTGAAGGATTTTACTTTGTTTTACTTGTGGAACTTTATTGTATTTTCTAGACTTAACTGAATAATAACTTAATCCTGATTTTAATATTTCCTGTTCCTCAACATCTTTCTTCTTTAAGTTAGAGACACCCAAAATAAATATACAGTCAAACTTTCAAAAGTACAACCTCATCTTCACTCAAAAAGAAAAATTCGCTGGGCCTAAGATAACTTTTTATTATATTCCTGAATCCAGAACTCGAACGGCAATCCTAAATTTTTGCTTATTATCCAAATTGTCAGAAAAGAAAAAAAAAAAAAAAAAAAAAAAAACAGAAAATGTCTACTACATTTAAGATTTATGAAATGAAATTTCATGGATCGATTCTGTGTTTGAAGATATCTAGTAATTTTGAATTAAAACAATTGAAATCAATGTACTTGAGGTTAAAAATCACTAAGCAGGACATACACATATGTGGTGTTTGCTGACACCAATGCTTCTTTTCCTTGAAGTAAAATTATGCTGACCATTAAAAAAAGAGCCAAAGTTTCTACTGCAACTTTAAATGCTCATTGTTCCTTATTATATATTTTATTGCAGATTTTTTTTCTAGATAACATTGTTAACTCTGACATAACATCGGGGATCAGCTGAGAAATCCGAGGAACTTGTAAATGACAGGCACTTCTAAAAGCAGAAAAAAATATATCTGGCAAATAAAAATCCTTTTTATCTACATTCTTTTTAAAATACCTAATATTTCCAAAATCTCAAAATTCACGCTTGATTGACCAGTAAGACTGACAGAATAACATATTTTGAAAAATATCCAAAATAAATAATTTTTCCACTAGACTGGAACAACTCCTTTTATTCTTGTGGGTACATAATATACATTGGAAAAAACTGACTGTTTATATGTTTGTCTAAAGGTCCAGAATGCTATCAATAAATAATAGACATTATATAACCCTCTTGGTTGATTATTTGTAAAATTATTTTCTTGTAATAAAAATGAGCAAAAGAAAACTTCAAGCATACCTATGCAAACTGACTGCATGAACAGAACACAGGAAATTGAACACTCTATAGATGGAGAAAGAATTTCAGATTTCTATCACAGCTCATTTTTCTGTCTGTAACACCATAGCGCATTGTCAAGCCCAGGATGGCCTGGGGTGCTTAGGAGAACAGATGGCAGCTGGGTTTGGCCAGGCAGGAGAGAAAACTAAGGTGTGACCACCCAGGAAGTGCGTGTAAATTATGCAGTTTGCTCTTCTCACCTTTAGATGAAAAAAAGTGCATGGGAAGGTGCATGCCAATGGTCAGTACTGCAACCACGTTGAGGCAGTTCCAACCCAAGGAACAATGTATATAAAGTATATAGAGGATTTGAGAGCAGTTGGAAGGTCTCACGGGAAGTTAGGAGATGATAATGCAACAGTGCAGCAACTGCCCTGGGACCAATGGTGTCCTTGAAATCAAAACAAAACCCAGTGAAGTTCACAGCCACAGTTTTTCCTTCGAGAACCTAGTGTTATTTGAACGATAAGTGAGATACAGGACTCTTTAGCGATACGAACAGACAGCCGTGGAGAGCAGATGTTCTTGCTTCTCACCGTGGAGTGATCAAGAAAAAATAAATAGGCTTTCAGAGAAGTAGGAGGAATAAAGCTGAGATTCATAGATGCAAGACCTGTGAAGTTCTGGGAAATGCTAACTAGGGAGATTATAGAATCACCTAAAGGATTATCTTAGCCTCAAATCATTACATCAGCGTTATCAAAAACCTGGCTATTTTATTTGCAGACAAAAATTAATGTGAGCTAATGGCACAACAAAGAATAATATGTCAAAGGAATTATTATCTTCACTCTTTGCACCAAACAGCAAAATAATTTTTTATTTCCTATAAGCCCTGTTTGTGTCACTCCTATTTTGTATACCAGCACACCTTCTTGTACACGTTCAATTTTCCCTAAAGCAATGCCAAACTTTTGAGCATTTTAAAAATATTCTCCCAGTGCCTAAGTTAATGTTCTGCGCACAATAAATAGGCATCCAGGGGGGAAAAAGGCCATAAAGTTTGAGTTCATAATTCCTGTAGCCACTTGTTTCACAAACCTATGATATAGCTATGATATATATTAGATAGCTTCACCCACCACCATTTGCTACTATGTGGCAGAGAAATGTGGAGGGCTGGCAGGGAAGGGGTGGAATGGAAAATTGTTCCAGGCACACGTGAAAAAGAAAATGAGCAATGGCCACATTTGTGATTTTGAATAGAGACCACAGCAACTAACATTGGTTCAGGAGAAATAAAAGTTTTTATGTCTTCAGAACCGTGTCTTCTTCTTTGGATCTGAAGTTATGGCTTCCAAGATCCACCACCTCCCCTCACGCTGTTCATTAATTATTAGAGGATTCTGCATAGAGATTGGTTATTTGTATCAAATTTGAAGTGTGCGTAATACAAAATGCCCTAAATTATCACAGTCAGTAACTCTAATTGGTATCAATTAAGACCTCAAATTCTCCCTTCCCTAAAATTAATCTTGTTCCTTCAGAAAATATTTCCAAAGCAATATGCAAGCCATTACCATTCTACGAGCTTGTAAATTAATGAAGAGTTTACTAAAGCATTTTCTTTCCTAAATTATACCTTCTACTAGGTACATCCTTTCTTTATCTGATATTTTGTGTTAATAAAAATATATATACATTCACATGTACAATATGCATACCCAGATATAGGTAAAATTCATAGCTTTCTTAGATTGTGAATTCAATATTTCTGTACCAGTTCCAAACTTTCTTATTCACTATTTAGAAGCCTTCTTGCAAGACACAAAATCCATTGTGCATTTTTTTCACCAGACTGCAGGAGTGCAAAAGTATACACTGTTTCCTTAAAAAATGGAATCATCATTCACAGATGTAGATGTGTACTTGTTATGCCAAGATGAGACAGATGTGGTTCTATTCACTCAGGGACAGGTGCTACGGAAAAAGAGATAAAACATTTGTACAAAGTGTAAGCAACTGTATCTCTGTTGCTAAATAAATAAACTCTCTGCCAAAAAACTTTATTTGCTTATTTCTCCTTATTTCTTCTGAATGTTTATTTTAAGATCTGGTAGAGCTAAGCTCTATTCAGGTTTTTCTTTCCTGTATTGATCAAAAATGTACTGTATGTACATGTGTTTGGATATGTTCTATAAGAATGAATGGTAAAGACGGCTGTACGTGCCATTTTATACCAATATTAATTTATTTAAAGCAATGTTAACCCCTGACACACACATTGCAATTTGACACACTTCTAGCGAGGTCATGCTCATGATCCCGGATGGAAGAAAACAGGTTAACAGGATGGCCACGAAAACACTAGCAGTTTTGGAGGGAAAAAACAACTTCATATTATTTTTCTGGGAAACATTTTGGTGAGCTACTGAGAACAGTACCGGGAGTAGAAATCTGCAGCTGCTAGGCTAGGGCAGAGAAACAGAAGATGATTTTGATTTTAAATATTCGTATTAAATCTGACTCCAAAAGAAGGATCGGGTGGGAATCCACAGCTGGGATAGGAAAGGCGAGTGGAAAAGATGATTTTGATTTTAAATGTATTTAATCATAACGCAGAGTGGAGAACGAAGGAGGGAGAGAGATCTGCAGCTGGGCTGAGGAAGGCAGGATGCTAGGTTGGAATAGTGTCTTCATTTTAAAGACACAGCTTTCGATTTCCTGGGACTCAGGGGTAACAGGAAACTTGTGAATACGTAGAAAGTTTCTACAGCTGGAAGGGGTTGTAAATAGAAAACTCTGCCTACCAGTGTGGGCATTAAAAAAAATAATAATGACGACAATAAGAATAGTTAGTAAATAGAGTGAGATTTTCCCCAAGATTGAAAATGACAGCAAAAAACTCAGAAAAGTATTGGCTATAGCATGGTCTAATATAAACAAGCATGCTGATTATCTGATAGTTATGTCCATAATGTAAAATATTTTTATAATCATTCTTTAAGCATTAGGAAACCAAAAATACACCAACAATATAGTAAGCATAATTTACTTTTTCAGCTGATGATTTTGAAGACAATTTAGGAGCTCACAGAATCTCAGTGCATTATGTGAGGAATGTAGTTGGGGCTTGGTAAATGTTTATGGACTGAATATAAAAGTTAATCAATAAATAATCACTAGCCTTCATTTTACATATGGAAGTTCCAAACATGTACTGAGCCTATAATCTCTGAAAGTTCTTTTGTATATTGACTTATTTTGTTGTTGTCTCACAAAGGAAAATCCAATTGAACTTTCTTTTTGTGTATTACAAGTAAATGTGACTTTAATGTGTGAACCTTCCACAACCCATTGGTGATATTTTAGATACTATTTAAGAAGTTCCCCTCAAAAAAATATGTATTTGTTGATAATGCCTATAGTGGAGGAAAATGGTTACCAAATAATTAATTGCAACTCTTTGTATTCTTCCATCGGGAAAGCTAATAGTTTTTGTTTAAGTTTGAATCTTGATTACAGATCAACATCCTTATAATTATTACTAAACAAAACCTAGATGGATTTTTTTTTTCACACCATATTTTTCAGAGTGGGAAGATGAAATCAGCTGATAAGTCCATGGAGTAATTTATATGTCAAATCTAAATTCAAGCTATAATGTCAAGCTAAGGAATCATTTGCTTTTAATATGAAAATGTAAGTATAATATAATTTCATCCTGTCAAATTCATTTTGCTTAGTGTAAGTTACTATCTTAAGATAAATTTTTTTAAATGAGAATTTAATTAGTTTTAGGTCTAATGCTTATGTCCATAGTGATAAGCCACTGAATACAACACATAGCTTGTCAGTAACTAGTCACATCTTATTTCTTGTCAAACAAAAATTCGATTTGGAGCCATGTTAAAAGACTGAACATTTGCAACATTATATCATGAGCCAGGTGGTAGTGGTGGTGACAGTGGTGATGGTCTGATTGCAAGGTAGGAGGATCATTGCACAAGAATTTGTCTTTAATTTTTTTAAGTCAATTTCACTCACCAGGTGGGGCTTTTTCCATACTTTTCAAAGCTTGACCAATGAATCCAGCTTAATACAGATTTGTCCCTTTGTAGGCAGAGTACTCAAAGCTTTAACTGGTTTAAGTTCAAGTAAAAGATTTTACTTTGTTTTAATGCCAGAATGCATACAAAAAAAAAGGCAATCATCCAGGGCATAAAATTTATACCCATCAAAAAGCATGTGTAACAATGGGTATCCATTGTTCAATGCCATTCTGTGTACTCTTACCAGTTCTCTAATTGGAAATATACTATTTTATTTATCTTTTTCTTACAATTTCTGTCAATACAAGTCACGAAAGTAGGTTGTATTTTTCCCTTCCAGTGAAGCTGGAAGAAGCAAGTATATAAAAAATTCTGTTACTTCCTTACATTTATATTTTGTATAACCCAGCATTGATTTGCTCCTTATTTAAGCAACATTTTCTTGATAAATTAAAAAAGCAGCAATAGCCATTACTGCAGGCTATATACAGCCTCTAATATCACTTAAGCATATTACAGAATATAATATCTGGTACTTAACGACTAACTTGCATATGAAAGCTCACATAATGTCTCATAAAACCCTTAAAATGGCTTCAGTTTAAGAGTCTCTTTAAAAAAAAACACCTTCAGGGAATATTGTAAATGAAGTAGCACTCCAGCCTTGGAAAAAAAATTCACACACTTGCAGAAATTTTTAATATAAATTGAACACATTAAAAATTAATTTTGCATGACCATTTCGCATTGCGGTGCCAATGCATAGTTAAGATAAGGCCTTAACTCTTCTTTGTTTAAAGTAACATGGAAGCTTTTTGCTTTCTCTCTTTGCTTTCATCTGTATATAATTATTATTTTCATTAATCAGAAAATGGACCCCCATTTTCCTATTCTGACAGTCACAGCTGGAGTTGAAGGAAACCCTACCTGAGTCACCAGGGTAACTTAACCATAAACTTCTAGGAAACTCATTAAAGAAAGGTGTGAGGTGACAATTAACTAAGGCAGTTTCCATCGTCTTTCCCTTTCTTAAACTGAGGGGCTTTGGAGAAAAGCTTCCTCATCAGAAAAGTAGCTCTGCACTGAGGAGACCTGCATTGGCTTTGCCGTCGCTCTCCTCTTCCCAGACCCCTGATTTGTCTCTTCTCACTTGCTTTCAACTGGATCAGCTATCTCCTTGAAGATTTGTGTGGCTTTTAGCAGCAGCATTGGAGAAGTAACACAATGTATATTTTTTCTGTTAAGATATTATTCTTTGATGGAAATAAAAAGGAGCAAAAATAACAACCAATTGCACTTTTTTGTATATGTGCAGATTTCTTTTTATTAGTCTCATGGCCACAATTTTACAACAACAAAATTCCCAAAGTGGGCATCAGTCGCAATAAGACATTGACGAATGTCTTTCTCCGTGGAGAGCTGGCGTTGCATGGATCTGACACGCTGTAGTTTTCTGTGATTCTGACATGAGCAGCCAGCACGTGATGCCAGTGGGAGCTTACAGGGAGTCACTGGGGTGATTCACAGATTACATCTCTAGTGATCAATTTTTAAAAGGTGGGGAAAGAGCTGACCTAAGAAAGCACCCTAGACCTTGGGTCAAAGGTGCTATATAAATCTAGCAAACAAAGAAAGAAAGAAACCAAGAGCACAGTTTCATTGTTCGAATCAGAAATTTTACTATGCAAATCTTAAAAGCTGAAAATATAACAAGAAATCTCAGGCTTAGTTCCGAATCTATTGTTTATCTTCTTGGGGAGGGGATAAGGAGTTTGGGGTCAGGGAAGACAAGTTTAACAGGACTGTTTTCTTAGCTTTCTTAGGCTTCCAGACGACCTTATGAAATATTACAAAATGTATTCCCTAGTTCTCCTAATTCTTGCACTCCATGTTAATCCAACTTAAGGTACACAATAACACAGACTCCAAAGCCCTTGAGAAGACATGTATAACTGACTGCCAAAAATGGTATTAGACTGTGGTAGTGTCGCATCTTGAAAAAAAAAAATCATTCAAACTAAAAACACAGGGAAGCCAATCTGTCTGGAAGAATTGGAAAGAACTGTCCAACTGCTTACAGAAACATACACACCTTCTAACATACTCACCTAACACAGTCATTATGTTACCCACTAAGCATCAGGTACTGTGGACTTCCTTCCAAAAACCCACAGTCTGCTTTCCTATTGAAACGTTTCCAGTCAGACAGATTTTCAACCATTGGTTTATACCAAAGCAAGAAACAATCCCCTGTACTGTAACTTACTTCATGGAAGTCCAGTATGTTTCTTTCTTTCTTTCCTTTTTTTTTTTTGTATGAGGTTATGATAACAGTAAAGACTGGCAAGAGCTAGACATTTTATTGTCATGAAGGAACACAGGGTAACACAGGATCCACAAATGCACCAAGCTTAAATGTGTGCACAAGCAAGCAAAAGAATCTATAGAGAAGTAGCATTCTTCTTTGGGTTTTAGTTATTCTCCAAAAGCAACTATATAAAATTATTCTGTCTCTCTCTTCCGCTCTCTCTCACACATATACATGTACACACAGTCAATGGTTATCCATGTAAATTGTAATTTTAATAAGTCTTATAATATTATTTCTACATTTTCAGAGTGTATCTTTTAATAATTAGCTGGTACTAAAATGTTCAGCTGATATTGGAGGGAAGGGAGATACATGTATCTACCTGATTAAAATAAAGGTAAATTTTTATTTAATTGCTACTTATTTTATAATGTAGAACCCACAGAGAATTCAAAACAAATATCCAAAACTTAACTGGATGCTAACATGTTAACTAAAGTGTGGCACATGTCCCTGAGGCCAAACACACGACGAGGACAAGTGGTTTGAGGAAAAGGAAAGAGAAGTTTATTAATTTGTCAGCAAATGAGGAAGATGGCAGACTCTCATTATAAAGAACCATTGTCCTCCATTTAAGCAGAAATATAGAGCTTTTAAAGGGGGTTTTCAGCTTCACACTATTGCTGTTTAACTATGGTTGGTGGTACTAGTCAGCCTTATTTCTGGTGAAGGTGACCCCATGTTCTTTGCCCAGATAGTCCTGTTGAGCCATCTCCAATGGTTTAAAATAAAGAACAAAAAACACTCTTCTGCCCTTCTGATTACTGGCCCTGGGTAGGAATGCAGGTCTTAATTCACAAAAAGAATGAAAGTAGGATTTTAAAGAGACAAATTGTAATACATTTTGCCATTTTTTAGGCCCTTACTTCTGTTACAAACACACAGTATAATCCAGTTTTCATGTAATATTGAGAAATAGAAAAAAATCCTTTGGAATTGTTTTGGACATATCAATAAGTAATTCCAAGTAGCTATGAAGCCACTAAGGCAGAGATGTGACCCTGAGTTCCTAAAAACTCCCCATACTAGATTTTATAGAATCAGAATTAGGAAAAAAATAACAACCCAATAATATGGCATTTGAGTACTACTATCAAATTTCTAGTAGCTTATGTATGTAAACACTTGAGAAATAAAAATAATAAAAATTTTATCTGGCAGAATTTTTCATCCATTAAAACATAAATGATAAAATTAAAAGTGACACATATATAGTCATGTTACAATATGTTCCAAGCAGCACTATCTCCCTTCAAACAAAATATAACCTCTAATTACCTTCTTTCTTAATGGAGTGTATTCATGTGCTTCTCTTGAAAATTGTGAAGAAATTCAGGTCTTGACAAAACCATTCATTGGTATTAGAAGATGACTGGGAAAAGGTGATGAAGAGCAAATATACAGAGGTCATCTTATCAGTCTCTTCCATCATCCATTTTTTTATAACTTAAAATTGTTAAAGAAACATTGTGTTGAGTTGTGTCACCTCCTAAATTCATATATTGAAGTCCTAACCCCCAGTATCTCAAAATTTGACTTTATTTGGAAATAGGGTAGTTGCTGATATAATTTGTTAGGATTAGCTCATACTGGAGTAATGTGAGTCTCTAATCCAATATGACTGGTGTCCTGATAAAAAGGAGAAATTTGGAGACAGTTGCACTCATGGGGAGAATGTCATGAGAACATGAAGGCAGAGGTTGTGTCCATAATCTAAGGAATGATAATGCATATCAGAAAATTACCAGAAGCTAGGGGAGAGGCAAGGAACCGATTTTCCCTCATAGTCCTCAGAAAGAACCAACTCTGCTAATGCTTTGATCATGGACTTCTACCCCCCAGAATTTTGAGACAATAAATTTCTATTCTGTTAACCCACCCAGTTTGTGGTCCTTTGTTATGGAATCCCAAACAAACCAATACAAGAAGTTTCCATCTTCATAGGCTTCTGGGTCCACTTTCCAGAGAGATATAAACATAAAAGCAGAGTATACTATTAATAGCAACCTAAGAGGTGTCTGTTAACCATGTGGTAGATATCAAAATGAGAAATTTAAGAAAATTAATTTGGGGTAGAAGATAGCAATATTGCTTTGTAGGGGAATGGTGTAAAAAAAAAATCAACCAATGGAATGTTGGAGTTTTTCTTTGTTTGATTGTTTGCTTGTTTGCTTTATCCAGGGCTTTTGTTGACAGAAAATTGGTGAAGGTAATTACACACAAGAGAAGAAGAAGGAAGCAGAAGCCCAAGCTCTTCACTCAACAAGGACTGAATCCATGCTTAAATACTTAATACTTGTTGAATGAATAAATGAATGAACAAATGAAATCCAACAAAACATCCAAGAGGAGGTGGAATTTTAGGTATTCTTTGTCATGAGTAGGTAACAGCTCATTTTCACTGAAGGCCAAATCAAAGCCAAATAATATCTTCTCAAACTGATAATGGTTGTAAAACTGAGTAGGAAAAAGAAAAAAGAGACTTAGAAGAATTTCATAACCTTTAGAACTAAGTGGTAATGCACAAAGTGTAAAATGTGTTATCAACATTCACAGTATACTGTGGCCTATTTTCATAAAATATAGCAATAACCACTCAACACATGAAATACTTAATAGAATTGAATGTTGGAGATTCTGAATACTATAATAATATGAGGCAGGTAGGATGTGTGTATTTCTGTGTTCTTTGGAAGAAACAATGTTGATTATACCAGATAGGGCAGTGTTATCAAATTTCCCTTCCAATGCTTACCTGATCTTTGGTTTTTTGATAAACACATATTATTTATATATGCACACACACACATGTATCCATATATATGGATATGGGAAATGTGCCAGAATAGTCTGGCACCTGCTGAGAACAAGAAGATGCTTTATAGGACCAATCTGGAGTGCTTTACCCATCCCAAGGGCCCTGCTGAGGAAGAGGAAAATTGAGCTCTCTCTGTCTTACTCCAGCAAGCCATGCTAAAAGAAGAGAGATAGTTATTAAGAGCATCAACATTGTTTCCCTTCTCGCCTTCCTCTTTTACGGTCATTATAGATAAAGGAAAGCAAAATAAATCACCCCTTCTCTTTAATTATTTAATGGTATATAAAAAGTTCCTTGAAGAGAAATAATTGTAATAAGTACGCTGAGGTGGGACAGGATTGATGACTTAGATAACTGTTCCTACATTTGAGTTGTGCCATACTCCACACTCTACAGTAACATGCAGGAAATTTAATCATAGAGATAAACCAGGAAATAGCTATACACACAGCTCCACACAATATAAAACATTTATATATTATGAATAAAGGATATATGGTATAAATATTACTGCTTAGTAACTAATGGCCAACTCTTAGGCTTAGCCTATGACCTATGTAAAATACTTTTGCCATCAAATATAAAATGCATACAGGAGTATTTCTTTGCTTTAAAACTTAAAAAGTGTAGAATCATTTGGCAAAAACATCAAAATATATAAAGTTTGGTCAAAAGCCAAAAGAATGTCATTCTCCCTCAGATTTTAGTTGGGTTAAAATAGTCCTAGTGTACCAGTAAAGATGTACATGCAAGTTATCCAAAACAGAAAAAGAGTGAGAGAAAAGAAACTTACAAAGAAGAGAAAATTATATACATATATATGTATATATATGTGTGTGTGTATATACATATGTGTGTGTGTGTGTGTGTGTGTGTGTGTGTGTGTGTGTGTGTGTGTGATGGTTAATTTTAGGTGTCAAGTTGACTGGGTCACAGGAAACCCAGTATTTGGTTAAACATTATTTGGAGAGTGTCGGTGAAGGTGTTTCTGAATGAGGTGAACATTTGAATCAGTAGAATCAATAAAGCTGATTATATTCCCCTAGTGGATGGGCCTCATCTAATCTGTTAAAGGACTAAATACAACAAAAACTGGAGTAGAAGAATTTTCTCTTTCTTCGTATCTTTAAGCTGGGACATTGGCCTTCTCCTACCTTCAGACTCAGATTCAGACTAGAATTATACTATCAACTCTCCTGGGTCTTCAGCTTGCCAACTGCAGATCTTGGGACTTCTTAGCCTTCATAACCATCTAAGCCAGTTTCTTATAATAAATAATATATATATACACTATTGGTTCTGTTTCTCTGGAAGCCAGACTAGTGTGTGTGTAGGAGAGTGTATATACATGCACATATAGTTAATTCATGCACTTCATGTATAAACACACATCACATCACATCAATAGTTCTATAACTTTGAAGTTCTGTCAGCTAACTGACAGGGACAACCCATTTGCAGGGGCAAACCATTGGCAAATATGCTTTTAAAAAGGGAAATAAAGAATTATACTAATTTGATGAAACATTAATGGGATATTGCTTAACTTTACCCCATCTTAAATATATTATTGACTCAGGAAATAGTGTCACAAACATCACTGAAACATAAAGCTTTAACTCATCCTATCACTTACCTCTACTGATGAGTTTGTTTATCCAACAATTCAGAATTACAGAAGATATACTTTTGCTAAAACAGCTTTTCACACTTTTTATTTTATGATAGCATTTGAACCACACAATTAAAGATAGATCTTAACAACTTTTAATATTAATAGAATATCTAATTTCTTCAGAGTTATTCAAAGCCTTCAAAGTTTTCTATGTGCCAACAACAGACATGAAACCATAAGCAACCACACTGAAGAAAGCCTTAATGGATTGATCCGATATGAGACCAGCAGAAATGAAGACTCATCAACGACCCACCTCCCTTGAAGATCTGTTTTCAGTGGATGTTAATATATAGCTAAAACAGAAATGTGTTCCACAAGTCAACTGTGATCTCTTCCAAAAGGTATGGTCATCTGGAGTCTTCAAAACTTGTCACCTGAGATATTGAGGATGACTTAATTCATCTCTCACCTTACATCTGTCTTTCTCTTTTTTAAAAATTGAATTTTATGAAAACATATATTAAAAAGAATTCTGAAGTTTGGAATTTTTTTAAAAACGTGTTTTCAATTGCAGTGAAAGTCAGAAAATGTCCATATGATTCCAGTTTGATATAAGTATTCTGAGAAAATACTGCTTACAGAGGTTTACAGTTAATTCACTAAGTATATGGAACTACCTGAGCACTTGCATTTTAGTCACCTAATACTAAAATAATCTTAAAAGTCATTTTTTGCCACAACAGGGTAGAACTGAAATTAATGATTCTTAATGTAGTCTGCCCAGAGCAGCAGCTTCAGCATTACTTGGAAACCTATAAGAAATGAAAATTCCCAAGCCCACTCCAGAGCTGCTGGATCAGAACCTATGGGGGAGGGGCCTGGCCTTGTGGTTTATCAAGCCAACCAGGTGATGCTAATACCTGATTTTGAGAACCATGGGTATAAACCATTCTGGTCAGATAGCATCTTTCACAGCTTACTAGAAAAGTAGCAGAAGAGAAAGGCATAGACTTCCTTCCCGTGGTGAATCCATTTTAGCACCCAACAACTCAGAGCTTTTCTGTTTCCTTAATCAGAAAGCATGGGGTGAGAAGCCATCATTATGCTATTGTAGCAAGCTGAAGCACAACTTCATGCCAAGGCTACCTGAGGGCCTGTCTGCTCTGGCTACAGGTGCATTCAATATGCACGGAAACATTAGACTCCTTATGCCTAATCTAAATCCTCTTTCTGCAAATTAAGCTTTTCCCTTTGTTTAATTTGCAGTGGAAAGGAACAGCTGGTGGATAAAATTAGTATGAAAAATCTTTATGTACTTAATCTCCATGATTTAAGTCATTCCTGAGTTTTCCTCATACTAAAAAAAAAAACACAAACACCTTTTCCTCTTATTTCCAGCCTCTCCCTTGAACTACTTTTCTACTATTTTAGTTAGAAAAAGCTAAATTAATTACTATTTTTTTAAATCCAGCATTTATTTTGAAGAAGTAAAAGCATTAAGCCTTGCTATACATAAAAATTGGTACTTGCTCAGGAGATAAATAGAGCTTTCCAAGGGGACTTCTTGGTAACTAGACTTACTCAGATGGCTTCCAAAATATGCCTACTTTTCACAAATTCCTACTGTATAGTCAAAGCTATATCAAGGTTATGATTTAATATGCTTTCACTTTTATTTTTGTTTCTATATTTTGCCTTATTTTTAGGGAAAAAAGTGCATATTCTCATAATATACTGCTGGCTTCCACTTTCTTCCTAACTTCTCTACTATAAATCCACCACTATACTCACTCTTGTGCCTTAAGCAGCATTGGCCTCAGCTCTATTCCAGGTGCGGATATATAATTCAGACCTGACCACTTATCGCTGCCTTCTCCTGCCCACACTGCTTAGATCATGCCTAAGCACTTGATCTAATTCAGGCCAAACAAAGACAATAAGAATAGAGTCCTAGATTTTTTGTTGGAAATTTGAGGAAGGGGTCCTACTTTCAGCTGGAATTTCTGGGAGGATGGGATGAGAGCACAGAACTGTGGGCAGACATCTGGTCACCCTAATTGGAAAACCCACCAAAAATGGAAACAATGCAGAAGGAACCAGAGCTGAGAGATGGAAATACTCCTATGAAGACCCAGGGGCAGAATTTCAGCCAGAGAACCAATTAGACCTGAACTTTCAGGAAAATGAACCAATATATATATATTTTTTTTTCCTTAAGCAAGTTTATATTATGTTCTCATTCACTTACAACCTAATCTGCAGGACATTGTGACTAATTGGTTTATGAAAAAGAAGGGGCTAAATCAACAATTACTTTAGGTTTTTGAGTGGTTCTTTCCCTGAGATTTTGACAAGACTAGACACAGAAGGTCAGGTTTGGTAAATGTTAAGTTGGGGAGGTTGGTGCAGTTGAAAAAATGTTTAGTTTTGAGCATTTTTATTCAAATGTATCTGTGAAACATTTAAAAGGCCATAATTTATAGATCATTGATGATATAGTCTATATGTCCTGCAAGATGTCTAGGCTAGGCCTCGGTATTAGAGAATCATCAAGATATATATGGCAGCTGGGCTAAGAAAACACAAAGACAGGGTAAAATTATCCAATGCAGGCGTCCTCAAACTATGGCCTCCTGGGCCACATGTGGCCCACTGAGGACATTTATCCGGCCCGCCGGGTGTTTTTGCCACCGCTGCCTGTCCAGCTTAGCAGCCAACTGGTCCCGGGCCCAAAGTGCACAAGAGTGGAATGTGCACCGCACTCTCCAACGGCCATCCAATGGTCTAAGGGACAGTGAACTGGGCCCCTGTTTAAAAAGTTTGAGGACCCCTGATCCAATGTTTATTGAACCGTTACCTTACCTCCACACCATCAAATTGCTCAGGTAATACAAGATAATGACAGAAAACTTTCCATTTGACTTGACCACCAGGACCCATCAGTGGAATGTACTAGAAAAACAAG